CTTGATATATATAAAACACAAACCTAAATTCGTTTTTTATCCATTTACACTATATATAAAACACAAACCTAAATTCGTTTTTTTATCCATTTATATATATATAAAACACAAACCTAAATTCGTTTTTTTATCCATTTACACTATATACTATCTACTGAAAACACAAACCTAAATTCGTTTTTTATCCATTTACACTTGCTTATATACTGTCTACTGAAAACACAAACCTAAATTCGTTTTTTATCCATTTACACTTGCTTATATACTGTCTACTGAAAACACAAACCTAAATTCGTTTTTTATCCATTTACACTTGCTTATATACTGTCTACTGAAAACACAAACCTAAATATCCATTTTACACTTGCTTATATACTGTCTAAATTAAAACACAAACCTAAATTCGTTTTTATCCATTTACACTATATATACTGTCTATATAAATTCGTTTTTTATCCATTTATATATACTGTCTACTGAAAACATAAATTCGTTTTTTTATCCATTTATTGCTTATATACTGTCTACTAAACCCTAAATTCGTTTTTTATCCATTTACACTTGCTTATATACTGTCTACTGAAAACACAAACCTAAATATATATATATATATAATGTTATAATATACTGAAAACACATATATAAATATATATATATATATATATATATATATATATATATATATATATATATATATATATATATATATATATATATATATATGTAATATATATACATATATATATATATATATATATATATATATTTATATATATATATATATATATATATATATATATATATATATATATATATATATATATATATATATATATATATATATATATATATATATATATGTATGTTTTGTATCGATGAGTCCCAAATTGGACGAAACGGCCTCCAGTGCTCTCTGCATTTTGTTGAAGATTATTCTGTCGATCGATATAATTATATATATATATATATATATATATATATATATATATATATATATAGATAGATGAAATTTTGTTCAAAGATAATGCAAAAAATTTTAAAAATATCCCCTCCTCCAACATGAAATTTCTAAAATCATAAATATATAACAGTAGTAAGACTTTCTGGAACTTTCTCATAAATTTGTGTGTTATTATATAGCTATATACTTTTAAATGCGTTAAAAACTACATAAGTCCTATCCAATTAAATCATTATCAAATAAAGCTTCTGTATGTTTGCAATTTTTGTTTCTTTGTAAAGGTGTACCCTATGTTTCTGTTATAACCTGTTAAATACGTTGAAAATACATAAGTATTATCCAATTCCATCATTAGCAAATTGAAAAATAAAGCTTATGAAATATTTTTGTTACCCTTATTGCCTATATGGTAAAATTGAATTTTCGATTTAGGGTTGATCTTTTTCAAGAACTAAAACATATTAATGCCTTTCTTATTACTTTTGAACAAAAGTTCATCGATTTATGATACAGGGACATACGGTTACAAAAATCCTAATATATATATATATGTTATACTACTAGTAATACACGGTTGAAAAAAACCTCAGATAGCACAATTTGTAAGTCTATCAAAACAAATTGATAGCCGAGGAAAAAAAAGAAAGAACTAGAAACATCCGAACAGGGCGAATCAAATCGTTTGTTTGTTTGTTTGTTTAAAACTTAACGATCCATCGATCAGCAAAAGATCATTTAAGGTCTAACAGTTGTTTTTTGTTTTTTTTTCTTTTTCTTTAAATAAGGTTTAAATGCTTTCAAAAAGACTTTCACATTTTTTTCCTTCTTTTTCGATGTTGTCTTGCTATTTTTTTTTCTTTAAAATTCACCGTTTTCAGAGGTGCGTTGTTCTTTGAAATTTTCTCGCCTGGCAAGTATCAATGTTTCCCCTTTCATCATCAGACACCAAATTGGAATTATATTTTATTATATAGTCCAACTTTCCTAAGAAAGGTCAAGATCAAATTGGGGTTTGATTTTTCGAAAAGTTCTTTCAAGTTGTTCACGTTGTAAAATAATTTTCGAATATGTGCCATGTCACCGCAATCAAGCAGGAAGTGTTTCACAGTATAAGCCTCCTGGCATGCTATGCATTCGGGAGGATCTTCGTCTTTTAGGAGGAAGGAGGGAGTTATGTGTGTGTGTCCTATGCGAATACGGGATAAAACCACTTCTTCTTTGCGTGATTTTCTGTGTTCAGTTAGTTGTTTCTTTAGAGAGGGTTTGATTTGAAATAATTTGTTGTTTTGACAGTTGTTCCAACCGTCTTGCCATTTCTTCAAAGTAAAGTCATTTATTAGGGGTTTATGTTACTTGGGTTAAGTTTCAGAGAGTTTTTTGCAGCCACATCAGCTTTTTGAAAGAAATCATTCAGTGCCTTATGTTTTTAGACCAAAGAAGAAAAAATAACCCAAGCGAGTAATAAGGGCTAAAACGTAGAGTGCTCAATACGCTAAGTAGAACAGGGATAAAGGGAATAAATCCTAAAGAGCCAGGAACAAGCATACCCTGAAGATCCGTTTAGGCGAAACCTAGGTAGGTTGTTCTTGTCACTTCAGGATTTCATTCCCACACACACACACACACACACACACACACACACACACACACACACATATATATATATATATATTTAAAATGTGTGTGTGTGCGCGCCTGCGTGGAACGTCGTTACAGAATTGAACAAAATGGCTATAGATTAACTCATTTTTTGTGCAAAACCATCTCACACAGAATATTAGACACATTTTGCGCATTTTCTAGGCTGTAAATTTGAATTTCTATATTCGTATGTATTAACCAATCAGCGACATAAAAAAAAATCATCAAGTACTAATACACAGGACCACTAGTAACCCATTCAAATTATCAGACACAAGAAAAATCTTAATTAACAACAACAAAATCCTCGATAAAAAAAAGCTGCAAAAAACGACTACAAATTCTAGAAGCGATCCTCATCAAAAGCCAACATAAATAAAATAGCATTTAATACTGGCAGAAACATATTAAACATATTTAATAACTAAATCGCCAATGAAAAGAAATGACCCCCCCGCCTTGTCAAGAATGAACTAACCCAACAATATCGTCTAATATAATCTAAAAACTTAAAACAACATATTTTCAAACCAAAATATACAACATGATGACAGTTGAAGATAGACGAAAGCACACGGCCAAAAACCATCGACTGTAGTCCGAATTTAACAACTTAGACCTAAACATTAAAAAAAAAACTTACGAGAAAGCAAGAAAAAACTGAAGAAAGATCATCAAACGGAAAAGTTCCGTACTTTTCATAAACACATGCATATATATATATATATATATATATATATATATATATATATATATATAAATAAAATGTCTTAAACACTAATATTCTATGGTCATAATTTATTCCATTGGAATCGTAAATACGATTTTTTTTAATTCGTAGATCTGATGAATTGCATCTTATTTACGATCCCAATGGAATAAATTATGACCATGGAATATTAGTGTTTAAGCCATTTTATTATATCCTTACTCTGTCCTGGACATTGAGTTCTACCTGGATTCTAATCTCTTGGAATTATTTTTTATACAAATATATATGTATGTGTATGTATGTATGTATGTATATTTTAGATATATGATTGCATATGTATGTGTATATTTACCACTAATATTATATATATATATATATATATATATATATATAAGTGAACTTTAAAAATCGACACTCAGAGGCCAGAGGTGACAGGCTGTTTCATGTTGACGATTGTGTCTAGCATGGAAGAGCTTGTCGCCTCTGAGTGTTGACTTCAATGTTCATTACACACGCTCTATCTCTTTTATTGAGCACTTTATCCCATAAATATAGTACACCTTAAAACTATATTTCTTCATATATATACATATGGCCTGGGGCTTGCGTATAAGCATGAAACTTACTGTTAAATGTAACTGACGCTCCTACCTCAACATCTTCTTCTTTAATTAATTAAATCATATCTATCTATCTATCTATCTATCTATCTATATATATATATATATATATATATATATATATATAAAAACTGAACATTGAAGTCAACATTCTGAGGCGACCGGCTGTTTCATGCTGGACGGTGGCGTGACGATTGCGTCCAACATGAAAGAGCCTGTCGCCTCTGAGTGTTGACTTCAATGTTCACTTTATATTTATATTTACACACTCTCCGATATCACTACTCGGAGTTTCATCCATAACGCAAGCTTCAAGTTCTTAGTATAGACTGACCGTTACGTCATTAAAATTTTTTAAAATATATCGTTTTCGCAATGCTGGCGCAGTCAAAATTTTAATTTAAAAAAAAATATATTTAGCATTTAAAATAAACGGTATTTGCATATATACGTTAAAAATATTTTAAAGTTGTTAATATTATTTTTTTATTTTTATATTAAAGGGAGATTATTAATGTGTTTAACCATATATTTGTTTTTGTACCTACATGCAACCATTAATTCATTTCTCTTGTGTAATAAGCTACGGTTATTTAAGTGTTTATTTATTATATTTATGGAAATGATCGTAATTTGAACTTTCAAAAACCACTTTAATAGAAGTGAAATGCAGTTTACACAGTTGAAGATGGATTGTATTACACTGTAAGTGTTATGATTTACAAATCCCGTTCGATCAATGAACAAACAAGCTATTTCCGTTTATCTGTTGTAATTTACTAAATTAGTACTGAAACAATGTAGAATAAAAAAAAACTTTAAAATAAATAAATAAGAATTAAAACTTTGACATTAGTTGTAATCTAATTTCTAAAACTACAAACAGTTAAAGTGAAGAGGAAAAAACACTTATATGCTTATCATGAATCCCGTTTTGTTCGACTAACGGAGATTTTACTAAAATAAAATCAGTTTTCTAATGATACAGTTTGGAGCAAAATTTATCAAAATAGAAGTTTTCAAAATAACCTATCTATCTATCTATCTATCTATCTATCTATCTGAGTCTATATCTATCTATCTATCTATTTGAGTCTATCCATATCTATCTATCTGAGTCTATTTCTTTCTATCTATCTATCTATCTATCTAGAGCAAAATTTATCAAAATAGAAGTTTTCAAAATAACCTATCTATCTATCTATCTGAGTCTATATCTATCTATCTATTTGAGTCTATCCGTATCTATCTGAGTCTATTTCTATCTATCTATCTATCTATCTAGAGCAAAATTTATCAAAATAGAAGTTTTCAAAATAACCTATCTATCTATCTATCTGAGTCTATATCTATCTATCTATTTGAGTCTATCCGTATCTATCTGAGTCTATTTCTATCTATCTATCTATCTATCTAGAGCAAAATTTATCAAAATAGAAGTTTTCAAAATAATCTATCTATCTATCTATCTATCTATCTATCTATCTATCTGAGTCTATATCTATCTATCTATTTGAGTCTATCCGTATCTATTTATCTGAGTCTATTTCTATCTATCTATCTATCTATCTATCTATCTATCTATCTGAGTGTATTCATATCTATCTATCTATCTATCTATCTATCTATCTATCTATCTGAGCCTTTACCTATCTATCTATCTGAGTCTATCCGTATCTATCTATCTGAGTCTATTTCTATCTATCTATCTATCTATCTATCTATCTATCTATCTGAGTGCATTCATATCTATCTATCTATCTATCTATCTATCTATCTATCTATCTGAATCTTTACCTATCTATCTATCTATCTATCTATCTATCTATCTATCTATCTATTTGAGTCTATTCGTATCTATCTATCTGAGTCTATTTCTATCTATCTATCTATCTGTCTATCTATCTATCTATCTATCTATCTATCTGAGTCTTTGCCTATCTACCTATGTATTTGAGTCTATTCGTATCTATCTATCTATCTATCTATCTATCTATCTGAGTTTATATCTATTTATCTATTATCAGAGTGGATTCATATCTATCTATTTGAGTCTATTCGTATCTATCTGAGTCTATTCCTATCTATCTATCTATCTATCTATCTATCTATCTATCTATCTATCTATCTATCAGAGTGCATTCATATCTATCTATTTGAGTCTATTCATATCTATCTATTTGAGTCTATTCTTGTATATCTATCTATCTATCTATCTATCTATCTATCTATCTATCTATCTATCTATATATCTATTAATATCTATCTCAGTTTATTCATGTATGTGTGCATGTGTCACGGTGTATTTGTTGGCATTAGCTACTAAGTCAGGTTGATCTGATATAATATTTCCTTTATTTTTCATTAGTCTCCCACTTCGGTTTGTTTCGGCCTCCTGGGTTGCAATGAGAAAATGCAGACCCCGGCGTCAATGACAGGGGAAGGGCAATTTCGTTTTGTTGTACAATGTCGATCATAAATAAACATTTTTTCTTTCATAAAAATCAGTAAAGAAATTTCTTTCGGCTCTAGACTATCAATCGGCGGACGTTAAACAAACATTTTAGTGTTTTGTGACCCGCAAGTAACAAGTGCTGGAGAGTGGTAACGAAAAACGCGCGTCAAGCCGATAGCGAAAAGAAGTAAAGAGGTAAAATGGCGGGAATCAGTCGCTCAACGAGAGTGGAGCTCAAAAAATAAAAACTAGTGGAATAATAGAGGAAAGGTCAACTCTTTTCTCAATCAATATATATATATATATATATATATATATATATATATATATATATATATATATATAATAAACAATCCTTCAAATGTTCAAACAGTTCACCCCGTCATTCACACACACCTTAATACCTGCAAAATATTTATTATTATTAATATTATTATTATTCTCCTCCTCCTCCTCCTCCTACTACTACTACTCCTTTGATTTCTGAGTCTGTCTATATTTCTGAGATGAGGTATTATGTACATTAGTTACATTATTTGGACTATTGTCCTCATCTTTGTCGCCATATTTATCACAACGTTTCGGCCGTTGTACGCTCCGGCCTTCTTCAGGTGGTTGGAATTTCGAACTGAACCCTTTCTTTCGCTCACTGGGGTAGACTGTTTTAGTTCCACGTGCCATGTTTGATGGATGTCAGTTATCAGTTATCTCCTGCTAATTTTCCCTCTTAAAGTTCTCCACTGCCTTAACCAGGTATTGAACTCACACTCTTTGGGTCCTCTCAGTGGATCTAACCAACGCCTTTATCCACTGTGCCATGTGTCCTTGAGGGGCGAAATAAAGGGTTCAGTTCGACATTCCAACCACCTGAAGAAGGCCGGAGCGTACAACGGCCGAAACGTTGTGATAAATATGGCGACAAAGATGAAGACAATAGTCCGAATAACTTTGATTTCTGGTCTATGCTCAATTCTCTCCGGGTCCCAACCATCCCTATATCAGAAATGGCATCATGACATTTTCATATATCTTTTTTTTTTTGTAAAACAAAATATATTATTATCATTATTATTGTTGCTTTATGTCCTTTTCTGTTGTTACTCATTTTTTTCCGGGTCCCAACCATTTTCCTAACACAAAATGGCATCATGACATTTTCTACATATCTTTTTTTTTTCTTTTTATTATTATTATTATTATTATTATTATTATTATTATTTCCTTTGATTTTTGTGTCTATTCATTTTTTTCCGGGACACCACCACATACTTAATGTCAGAAATGATATCATATTTTCCACTAAGCACTAATTTACAAATATTTTTGTATAGATAAAAAACAATAAAGATGGGGCTGTTTTTTGTGGGAACTTTTGGGGGGGTATTTCTTTAAGGTATGTGGTATCAAGCAATCCCTTCAATGAATCTATTGGAATCTTTTTCAGTCATTCCGAGGGCTCCAACTACAACTGAAATTGTTGATTTCCTCATGTGCCACATTTTTGAGATTTCGATTACATGCTCCTTATATTTTAATATTTTTTGGTGATCTGTAAAGACACACTACAGTCTGCATGGACTGCCATGTCAATAAAGTGGCCCATTTTGTCATTGCGGTCATGATGTCTGGACGATTAGCTTTGACTGTTCAGTCTGTGAGTATTATGAAGTCCCATAACATAGTTACAGGTAACAATTGTATGAGACTTCACAGTACACGATATTATTATTATTATTATTTATTTATTCATTTATTTATTTATTTAAAATGGTAATAAATATATTTCAATAAAAATTATGAAAATAGAAATAATAATAAAAGATGTTAATCAATTGAATGAATTAAATAACTCCTAGCATTAAATGAATCATAGAACAAGGATTATAATATAGGTAATACTGGTATAATACTTACTGTTTACCTATTTTTACAGCACTACGTATGTATGTCACTCTCTCTCTCTCTCTCTCTCTATATATATATATATATATATGTTAATATGTGTGTGTGTGTGTGTGTATATATATATATATATATATATATATATATATATATATAAATTGAGAGAGATGTGGTAATTTGGAGATTTGAAGTCTAAATTTTATCTGGAATTTCAAACTGATAGAAGGGTTTAATGATAAAAGGATTTGTTTTAAACATCAAAGCTCAATATTAAAGGTAAGGGTAGAATTAATAAATTAAGAATAAAATTATTAATTATATATATATATATATATATATATATATATATATATATATATATATATATATATATATATATATTTTTGTTGGAGAGATTTTTAATAAAACAGTGATAAAACTTAATTAGAAATAATTTGTGTTTAAATGCATAATTTAAAAAAAAATCCGCATGTATATATCGTACATGGTCGGAATTTGTGTGGAACAGACGTATCAGAAAATAAATAGATATCACTTGAAAAAGTCAAGAACATTCAATTTTATACCAAATTTTTTAGTACGACATTTTACCCAAGACAAGGCTCAAGAGCCACAAAGTTAAATGTTGCTGTTTAAAATCGAAATGAATGAATTTTATTTAAAGTAAGAATCTAAATATATAAAAGACCGTCCGTGTGTTTGAAACCTCTCCAACTCTTAGACTAATCATTTTGCTACATCATACTTATTATAAAACCCAGGTTTTGTGTGTGTGTGTGTGTGTGTGTGTGTGTGTGTGTGTTATGTTTGTTCGTTTATATATTGGATTTTCCATTTCCCATATTTTTCAACCGATTTCAACAAAAAACTCACAGGACTACGTAAAATTATCCTTGATTTTGGTTCTAACGTTTTCGATTGAAAAAACTCAATTGTTTTTGCAAAATCAATTTGAAAAACACGATTAAGGCATCGCATCGCTGTCGAGAATGAAATGGGGACAACTCATATCGAGTTATACTTATTATAAAACCCAGGTTGTTTGTGTGTGTGTGTGTGTGTGTGTGTGTGTGTTATTCGTTTATATATATGGGATCGATTTCCTACATTTTTCAACCGATTTCAACAAAACTTTTAAATTTTTTTTTTTGGCAATTATGTTTCTTATTGTCTTGCACAATTTTTTTCTTTATTTTACATTCAGAATGCTTTAAAAAATTCATTTACAAGACAATTGTTTATAATAAAATTCTATTCAATCGGTAGACTCATAACGATTGAAAACAATGTTTTTGTTTGAGTTTGGGTTTGACCAATTCGTAAAAAAAAAAAAACTAATTAAGACATACATGCGTGTCCGTCAACCTTAAAACAATAATCTTTGTTAATTTTATTTTTCAGTCTTTATGATGGTCGATATTTGATCTATCTCTTAAAGAAGAACATACATCCCAGGCAACACCGAGCTCTACTGCTAGTAAGCTCAAAACTTTTTTAATTAGGATGATCCTGGGATTAAATATCTAACCTTCATCTGCTTCTTAAACATCCAGAATTGGTATTTGTGTCCGGATGACGAGGAAACAGTTAAAAATTTGAAACTTATAACATAAAAAATTAGTGATTTCAAAATTTTTTTTAAATTTATACAAAGTAACACAACAAACTTTGTGAATTTAATTTTTTTTTTAAATTCAGTTTAAAATGTCTCCAAAACTTTTTGAATTGAGAAAATCAATTTTATTTCTTAAAAATGCCAGATTTAAAGTAAGAGGTTTCGTAATGTGAGGTTTTGAAGCTCTGCAGAATTTGCAATTTTCGACTTGAATAAGAATTTCAGCCCAAATCGGACTTTCAGCCCAAATCAATCTCTTGGCCCGAATTCAACTTTGGCTCGAATCAGAGTTAAAGTGAGGTTTTGAAGTTCTGTGGAGTGAAAGGAAAAAAATTCAAATTTATTTCCTCGAAATTATTATTACTGTTTATAAAGCTGGACCAAATATGTCTCTAGTTTTGTGTCGGAGGCCCATTTAGAAATATGTAAAAGTCTTCAAAAAAAAAATAAAAAAAAAAATTATATGTATATATGTTTCATTAGATGAAAAACAGTTTTTTTTAAAATTTTTTTTTTGACTTTTTTTTGAAAAAATGGCTAAGAAAAAATTAAAATGTCGAGGGTGTAGATATTGTTTCAAGTGAAAATTAAAACTAACTTTTTTTTCAATAAATTCACCGTCTAAAATTTCAAAGAATATCTATATTTTCTCAAATCTCGTGGTTATAATGATTTTTTAATAAATATTTGTCAAATAAAAACAATATGGCTATCCACGAAATTTTACGTACTGGACGCCCATGAGGTGTAATGTTTTTTTAAAACAAAAATTATGTAACTGTAGAAATTATCTCATAACTGTCCTCTACAAAATAAATGTCGCACGGAATCATTAGTATACCAATGCAATATCTCATCTATTGAGAATCCTGAAAACATAAAAATCTATATAGGTTGCACAAGCCATGAGTTCAAAAAAGAAGATTCAATCAACATCAAACTTCATTTAGGATAAATAAATACAAAATCAGACATCCCTTTCAAAGTAATTCTTTATGGCACTTAAAAGAATCCAATAAAACACCTACAGTAAAATGGAAATTAATAAGAAAAGCTAGAATATGTAGGTCATTAAATGACCCATGTCCTTTATATGCATATGAGAAACTATATATTACTAAGTTTATAAAAAATAAAAATTTACTGAATCAGAGAAATGAAATAGCTATTTTTTGCCGTCATTGTCAAAAATTTTCCTTAAATAATATTTAAAAATAAAATAAATTTAAAAATGGAAGCTGGTAATATACATACTTATATATTTGATATAAAAAAATAAATTTAAATAATTTAAGTAATTCTATTACATTTACTTGTTTTAAAAAAATAAATATAGTCTATTAGTAATTAAAAGTAAAAAATAT